CTTCATCAACACTGTACCCTTCGATTACCACTCCAATTCTTACTTCTGTTCCCTAGCAGCATGCTATATTGCTATGTTTAAATCCGGAATTTCCGGGGATCATCTTACGGACAACTTTCCCAATTCACACTCCAACATAGTAACCTCCATTGTCCGATTCCATCTTCACTTTCACCTATCGAGGTTTATGCGTAATCCCAAACTACTGTACCAATATCTTACAGGAGATGATATACGAACCATTAGGAAGTACATGCCTGTACGTGAGACATGGGTTAGGAGGACCGTCTCTTCCCACGCAAACCTTGGAACATGGTATTACGGCTTACCTGTGAGCGAACAGGAAAGAATACGACGTCAGAAGTACCGTCTGACCCAATATGGAGGTTCATTTATCGAATACGAATACCTGACCGGCAGATCACCCTTTGACGTTGAGAATGATTATAAAACCCTTATTCCCAAAACATCCCGGGGACTTACCAAAGTTGGACAAAAATTATTCCAGCAGTCTATCGAGGCGTTCGTGTACTCTGTATTAGGGGCACAGGCCAAAACCTGGTGGAGTATTACGGGTCAGGGTGCTAAAAGTCTGCAGACACAGGAGGTTTTCCGGAAGGTGGTAAAAGACACGATTGTACAAGACGATGTAACAGTTACCATTTCCAACATGAGGACGGCTATTGCCAATATACACGTCGTCCTAAATTTTGCAGTTATGCCGGGTTTAATCCTAATCCCCTCTGACCTAAGAATTTTAGCAAAACCTATCCCAGGATTTAGCAATGTCCCAACGATAGCTAAAAACGGGATGACGTTCGGAAAGAATGAGAAGGTGAATTATTCAAGTGATTCCGTTCCTACCCCTACGAACGATGTAGACGAAAGCCATGACATTACACCGGTTCCTGCTGTGGAGGACTTCAAACCCCCGGAATTAAGGCAGAAGTCTGATACTCAAAATATTGCTCTTGAGACAGCGGCAGTAGCATCCTTTGGACTTGCATACCTAGTATTTCGACGTCAAATAAAAATGAGCATCTTATTCGGATACGATTACTTTGATACAACAACAGAAGACCTGGATATCCTAAAACAGAAACTAGCAGTAGTTGAAAAGGGACAGCAGGGAAACACGGCAGAAGTTGTCAAAAACTCGGACGAGATTGTAAAATTGAATAGCCTCGGGAAAAATTATGTACAGTACGATTTTACACAAACACCTGGGTATCCACCCGGATTTCTTCAACCTTCTAATATTCCCGATGCGGATAAAGGGAACGCAAAATTCATTAGGTTTAATGTTAGTGACGGAAATAACACGGCAACATCCTCCCCCCTGTACGGGTTTTACGTGGGCAGTGCAGGAACCATTGTCCTTTTTACACGTGATCAGAGCAGTAGGATTATACAGGTCTCGTTTACATTTTTCGTTACTGGCGATACAACAAATTCTATGGTACAAATTTTTGGTCTGGAATCCAGGGATGTAAATGTAACCGGCAGAACAGGAACTACAACCATAAGCTGCTTCCTCATGACAACATAAAGTTTTAAATCCAAATGGTAGGATTTAAAATATTCGTGTTAATCCATAGGCTCCCCCAACACCCAGTATACCCACTGTCAACACTGCGTATTTTTTCATCTCGTCCGATGGTTGATAGTAGTCCTCCAATTTCGGTCTGCGTTGAGATGCCGTATTATCCATAAGCCTCGTATAGTTCCTCAGGTCTTCCAGTGCCCTGTTTGTTTCCGCGATATCCTTGTTAGCATCCAGAATTTCGGCCCTCCGTCTTGCCTCGTCGTTCGTACGCTTCACTTCGGACTCGTAAAACTTCTACTTGGCTTTTGCAAGCTTCTCCAGGGCCGGGTTATGTCTTTTTACCTCTTCCTTGTATCCCTGTCCATCCAACTTGGCAAATAGGAAGCCGGCCCCGGCAAAGGCCACAGCATTAAAGAGTCCTCCAACTACGATAGATGTCATTCTTTATTTGTCAATCATTTTTGGGATTCAGCGGCGGCGAAACAGATTTCGTTCTGGGGGGGCTAAATTTTTTCGGCGACCTCCCCCCCCAAAAAAAAAATTGGGTCAGTGTACCACTTTAGGGGTACAATATACAAAAAAAGGTACGAAAAAAAATTTTTCGGACTTATATCAAAAATTTTTTTCGGAAATACACTTTTTTTAAACAAAATATTGCAAATTTGTCCCCTTATACCTAAATTTTCAAAAAATAACCTAAATTTTTCCCTAATTATCAAAATTTTTTTAAAAAATTCAAATTTTCTGGGGGTGCTAAGCCCCCCCCCCACTTTTACTTCTGGGGGGCTTTAGCCCCCCTAGCCCCCCCCTGTTCCGCCGCCCCTGTTGGGATGTATCCCTTATCCTTAAGATATCCTATGGTGAATGCACTTCCGGCTACGGCAACGGCAAGCTTTGCCGCTCTTCTAGGGTCATCGGTGCACCGATGCTTTTTCCGGCAACCGTTTTAGCAAGGTAGGATACCCCTACGACCCCTGTTCTCAATAGTGCCGCATCGTACAGTTCGTTGATCACTTCCTTCTTCGTGTCGGTCATTATGTCTTTTATTATAGTAGAACTATTTCTCCTTTAGCTTCTCTTCCAGGATTAGGGAAAATTTCCTTTCCAGGGTGTCGAGCATCCTGTCTTCGCTTTCTTTGTGTTCGGCCTCCTTCGCCCTGCGTTTGTCTTCTTCCACCTCAAGCGTGTGGATGTAAATCAGTGCGGCTCCAGCTGCTACGGAAAAGGTTAGTATGTCCAGGAACGGTTGTGACATTGTTTTATTATACTCAGTCAAGTAGGTCAGGACCTTTCGGTGTGATAACTGCCGTGCCACATGAAGTAAAGGGACCCGAGTAAAAGTAAACTGTAAATAACTTTAGGTTTAACCAAGGGTAACTCATAAGTACATTTGAGATAACTTGTAAGTAGACCTGAGTTAACTTGTGAGAAATCTTAAATCTGGTCAAAAGTCAGTCAAGAGTAATCTTAAATCTAGTCAAAAGTATCTCACGAGTAGATCTGAGTTAACTTGCGAGTAATCTTAAATCTGGCCAGGAGTACCTCAAATCCAGAATCAACAGTCTATAGACAAGACTTCCTACATATAAACAAAGGAACTATGGAACAACCCATCACAAGAAGACCTCTCAAAAGGGAGGAAATAAAAAGGGTCGGACTTACCTTCCACTGCCCCGAAAGGGTGGACCGCATCGAAAGGATGTGTAAGAATGCCAACTACGAGAACATAATGTTAACCTTAGATTACACAATACCTGTATTCGACTTTATTCTTGTATTTCGTCACCGCATACCAAAAGTTAACGTTAAACTCGGAGATGGGTGGATCGGAAAAAATGCCGAAATCCGTAGTCTAAGATCCGACAACGGCGGAGAGCCGTACGGTATTTTAGTCATCCTTAATATTTCCGATCTCACACCCGACATACGCAGGTGCTGGATCAAAAACCTGAAAAACACGGAAAACACGATCCTCTTAGGTGAGGTCGAAGACATACTATGTGAGGAGGAAGGTCTCAGCGACGAGGATTTGCGTACGATAAGAAGGCAGCTGAACGAAATGGGAAAGACCCTGCTGAAAAGACCGATTAAGGTTACCAGGTAGTGACCAGACAAAATCAACAACCTATCTATAGGCAAGGCTTCCTACATATAAACAGAAGAAGCCATGTCCATAATTATAAAGGGGGAAGCTGTTAGGATGTACTTTGATCGTCCTGCCATAATGGACTCCGTCAAGGAGATGCTAAGTCATGCCAATTACAAGGACATAATATTTATCGTGGAAGACGTACTACATCATGGTCACAGCCTAAAAATTGTAAGACACAGGATTAAACTAGGAAGCGGATGGATGGGAAAGGGCTACAAAATAAACTGGATATATGGCACCTGGGGATTGAAAGGTATCGACATAACCATTAGAATGTCCAAATACACACGTAGGACTAGCATCGGACAGTGTACCGTCGGAACCCTCAAAAACAGGATTTCCCTGGGTGATCCCATCACGGTAATCCATGGACATGGAAGATGTCCGTGGATATCCATGGAGCACTATATGACGAGGGAGTACGACATAGAACAATTAAACGTTAACGATGAGCGAAACGAAGTAAACCGTATCGGAAGTGAAATGCAAATGGAACAGGAGACGGAGGAAGTCCCTTGGAATAAGATTGATTAGAGTTGCCAAGTAGTGACCTGGCGTTTCCAGCCTAAAAACGGTGCTTCTACTCTAAAGTAGGGAGTTTTCATGTATTTTCATACGCTTTCATGCTAAAATCTAGCCAGGTAGTGACCTGGCGGGGTTTCAAATTATAGGGCGCAGGTTCGGACACCATGTCCCACAAACAGAATCAACTTTTACAAAATAAGTTTTATATAATAAAAGGACACCTTTCTATACGTCCGAATCCGTGGACATTTTGTGAACTCCGTTGCGGTCTGAAAAACAGAATCAACCTTAAAACCACCTTATAGAAAAACTTTTCTATATAATAAAAGCAATGGAGTCTACCAGACAAAATGCTCCAATTTCGGATAAAAAATTCGCATCCATTGAGCGAATGAGGACGAACGTCCTTGAGATGGCCAGGGAGAGAGGGCTAGAAATAGAAGGGAAAATTAATGCATTTCGACGAACTTCTCAAGAAGGAGAAGAGAAATATAGTCGGAAAGGAAGTTAAATCAGCAGCAAGGCAATTCCGGAAACGGAGAAAGCAAACCGATGCCGACGCGTAAAGAGAAAGAAGAGATGCGAAGAAATGGAAGAGCGACATCGCTAAAGAAGAGAAAAGACGACGGAAGGAGGTCACGGACTGGAAAGCCGAGGCTCAAAAGTGGAAGAAGGAGACCCAGCGGTTGCGGCGGAATGCAAGGGCCCGGGAAAGACGGGCCGAGGAAAACCGTAGGATCGCAGAGGGAAAGTGGAGGGGTAAGAAGAAATTCGCCAAACTCCAACTTAAGGTGGGTGACAAGCTTAGTAAAATCTGGGAAAAGCCGCGGGAAATGCTGGAACCCGTTCTAGCCAAACACGCCATCAAGGGAAAAGTAAAAAAGTACGTCATCACCCCAAACGGTAACTACGACCCATCCTACTTCATAACCATCACGGAAGATGAGGTTAAAACACTCATAAACTCCGAAACGGAACCCAGGAACGTAAGGATGTCCTTAGCCTGTGAAATGGTAAGGAGCGACCCGAAAACCGGGGAAGAAGTGTCAACCGTCGCTCACTTCGGATCGAAGAACCACAAACTTATCGGTACGGACGATACGGAAGAAACCCAGGGTATCATGATGGAAAAGATGCTAAAGTCTTTTTCGGAATATCAGAGGAGGGGCAGCGGATTGAGACTACGAAGAGTTACCCAGTTGGAAATCCACATCGGAGAGTTCCGACCACTCAGGGGTAAGAAACACGAACCACTACCCAAATCCATAGCCAGCAGGAAAGCAATTATCAACATGAAGAACGACGACGACGAATGTTTCAAGTGGGCTGTAACCCGTGCCCTGAACCCCACCGACATCCATCCGGAAAGAATCACAAAAGAACTCAAGAGGCAATCCGAAGAGTTGAACTGGGAAAGGACTGAATTCCCAACACCAATAGACGGCATTAAAAGATTCGAGAAAAACAACAACAACATCGGCATCAACGTGTTCAGTGTCGACGAAAAACACAAGGTCTATCCCCTGCGGATATCAGGAGAAGCCAATCCCGTTAGACTCTTCCTATGGAATAACCACTACAGCGTCGTCAAGGACATGTCCAGACTCGTAGGCTCACAAATAAGCAACAACGAACACAGGAAACACATATGTGATCGATGCCTTAACACATTTGGATCGGACGAACTCCTGGAAAGGCATCTGGAACTATGCTCGAACAACAACTACCAAAGGCAAGAATACCCAAAACCCGGAAGCACCACGAAATTTGAAAACTACGAAAAGATACAGGAATTCCCAATCATCATCTATGCAGACTTTGAATGTTAGATCGAACGGATGGACACGGTCGAGCGGGGCCCCCACATGTCGGGTACAACTCCATACCAAAAGCACAGCCCCAGTGGATTCTGTTACTATATCAAATGTTTTGACAATTCCATTTACAAACCCAAGCTGGTACACTATACCCAGCAGTACGAGGGGGAAGACATTGCCAAAACGTTTGTGGACCTTCTCGAGGAGGAAACCCGAGATATTTACAACAAATTCAAGTTCAAGGAGCCCGTCAGAATGACTTACGGGGATACCAGGGATTACGAAGAAGCAACCACCTGCTACGCGTGTAAGGAAGAATTCACCCTAAAATACTACAAAGTCAACGACCACTGCCACTATACAGGTAAATACAGGGGTGCTGCACACAACTCGTGTAACTTCAGGATGAGGCAACCAAAATTCATACCAGTCCTCTTCCATAACCTTGAAGGGTATGATGCCCATCTATTCATCAAAAACCTCGGGGTAAGTAGCGGAGACATCAAGTGCATCCCCAAGACGGAAGAAAAATACATATCCTTCACCAAAGAGGTAGTGGTCGATACATTCAAAAACAAGGATGGTAAGGAAAAGAAGGTCAAAAGGGAATTGAGATTCCTAGACTCCTTCAAATTTATGGCAAAATCCTTAGACGAACTCACCAAGGGTCTAGCTAAGGACGACTTCGAAAATCTGTACCTAATGACATCACACTACACCACAGAGCAACGGGAAATCCTTTAGCAGAAAGGTGTATATCGATACGAGTACATGAACGAATTCGATAGACTGAAAGAAAAATCCCTCCGACCTAAAAGCAAGTTCTTCAGCAACCTTACCAACGAAAGCATCAACCTTCATCAACCTTACCATACGTCCTCCACCATACAAACCTAAACCAGTACCTGAACCTGAGGATTAAGTTAACCAAAATACATCGCGGAGTCAAATTTACCGAAAGAGACTGGATGAAAAAATACATTCAGCTCAACACAGACCTCCGAACCAAAAGAACCACAGACTTCGAAAAGGACTTCTTCAAACTCATGATCAACTCCGTATTCAGAAAGACAATGGAAAACGTAAGGAACAGAGTTGACATCAGAATCGTCAACGACGAAAAGAAATGGAACAAGATATCCAAAAAACACAACTTCAAGTCAACAACCATCTTCTCAGAAAACCTGGTGGCAGTTCATATGAGGAGGACCTCCGTAAAACTTAAAAAAACCTATCTGGGAATGAGTATCCTGGATATCAGCAAAACCCACATGTACGACTTTCATTATAACTACATCAAACCGATGTATGGGGATAACGTCAAACTCCTATTCACAGACACGGACTCCCTGTGCTACGAAATCACCACCGAGGACTTCCTCAAGGACATTTCCGAGGATGTTCACGAAAGATTCGATACCAGCAGCATCGACAAAGACCATCCCTCCGGAATTCCAACCGGAGTAAACAAAAAGGTCATCGGAATGATGAAATCGGATAGAAGAATTCTAACAGATAGAAGAATTCGTTGGACTCAGAGCAAAACTGTATGCCTATAAGATGGCGGAAGACGGAAAGGCGAAAAATAAATGTAAAGGTGTTAAGGAGGCAACCGTCAGAAAGGAAATAACGTTCGACAACTACAAGGAGTGTCTCTTCAGTGGTGAGAAACAATGGAGGGGAATGAGCGTCTTCAGAAGCAGATTGCACGAAATGTACACCGAAAGAATCGTCAAGGTAGCCCTATCGGCAAGCGACGATAAACGAATCATTTGCGAAGACGGGATACACACCCTGGCAATAGGACACAAAGACCGAAGACAGTAGGAATCCTAACAAACTGATTTTAATATTCGAAGGAACATTAAAACCTAAACGTATCCTCTACCTACCCGTAGATGGACGCAAAAGCCTCTTCCAAGGTTCCGCCGTCCTTTCCCTCAGGTATACCCCCTCCTGAAGTAGTACCTGAACGGACACCATATCCCCAGACACGTATATGCTCGGGAACCTAACCAAAGCATCCAAGCAAAAATGCTTGTCGATGGGCTTCATGGGGTTCATATCCCCTCCCCCGTCCTCATACAACTCCGTGGTCTTGTCAATTTTTGTATACAGGACGGGCTGCTTCCCACTCCGGTAGAAGTATCTTATGACCGTTGTTTCGGACTTTCCAACCTCTTCAGCACATCTCTTCTCCAATACTTCCAGGGCCGATATGAAATCCAAAATTGACCAAAACCTGCCAACAATCCAAAATTGACCAAAACCTGCCAAATTGACCAAAACCTGACCAATTGAAAATTGACCAAACCTGCCAACGATACTTGCCAAAGCCAGCCGCGTAAAGGCCTAGTTCTATGCTGGAGTAATTCCATATTCAGATGCAGATAATTATACAGATAATTATATATATCCCCTTTGGCATAAATCGATCCTGCGGCGCTCCGATTCCGGTGCAGCGCTGTAACCAACTGAGCTAAAACTCAGTCAGTTTGTATATAATCTTACGCTCAAAATTTCCATCAACAAAAACTCTTCAACTACTAGTTCTATCGTGTGAGGTGCCCAGCAATCTCTATAATTATATATTTACCTTTAAAATACTCATTAAAAATTCATAAACCTTGTGGCAAATCATGTCAGCCATAACATGTCACGTGGAGTGACTTTATATCTGATAAAACTCATCTTCATTAGTATTCTTTATATAATTGTTCATCCTAATTAGTATGATTATATAATTGTTCATCCTAATTAGTATTCTTTTGTGGTCATATTTTAAGCTATTCAAGACACTCGAACTCATGTTTTATCATATCTAAAACGTTCGGCTGCGCCTCGCGTTTTAAATATGATAAAACACTCCTTCTCGTGTTTTTAATACTACACTGGCATTAGCTGCTATATAGTTACAAGAACTTGTGGTTAGAGCTCGATAATTGGCTTAGTTGGGTAGAGCGCGCTGCACTCGAGAATTGCAGGGTTGAAAGTTCTATTTCTATTTGCTAGAGGTTCTATAGCTTCATTTTCCGCAATTTGCCACTCGAAATTTGCATCCACAAAAACCCTTGTCTGTTAGTTCTATTGAGCAACACACCCAAAAATCTCTCTATACATTACATCAACCTTTAAAACAACAGTAACACGGCAGTCTGGCAACCAGCCATTTCCAAGAAATGTCAACTTTTCTGATAGATACCGAATCCCTATAAATAAGGGCTAGGCCAGTTCCACCATTACCACCACGACCAACAGGTGGAGTGTTGTCTATATCTCAACTTTGATGACTGCAGAATAATGAACCATGTTTCAGCGATTACAACAATGTCAGGTTTTATGTGACAAATTAGTTCAAGCATACTCGCATGTTTTGGACTTCTACTCTTTCGGGCATTTAAACACGCAAAATTTGGACAGAAATGTTCTTTATTCCCATTATTTAGATTTGGCTGGAACAATGTACAACCTTAATTTGTTGTTATATTTTTGTTCAAAAAATTGAGTAATTCCATAACATATGATCTCGCATGATTTTCCGGCAAAGTCCATAAATCGCTAGATTGTTCATGTTAACTAAAACTATCATTAGGAATTGGAAGATACATTCTATCCAGACCAAGCAGTGTTATTTTCGTTCCCATAGCATACACTGAGCCGAAACTATATCTTTTTACGCTTACGTAATACGCTGATGGAGAGACGGTTCAAATTCATAATTAATATTCATTATCTGTAGTCAGAGACTCGTTGAAATACACAAAAATTCGTTCCATCGAGAAATACGATTAAGCAATGGCATGGCAATACATTATGGCATAGTGGTCCGAGATAAGTTCTCTGCCTGTCGGCATACACAAACACAAGAAAAAATAAACAACCACAGTGTGCTGTATAAGCATGCAGTAAACATGCAGGTACAGTAAGTGAAAAGCATAATACGCATACCTTAAATTTATCGCAAACATAAATCAGAATTCGCAGAATATTGTATGGCGGGGGTAGAATGTAGTCATCTTTCTGTACGAATTCTAACCATAAAGCAGTTTTGTCCATCTTCCAGTTCAAAGAATCTTTATCATTCTATATAGCAAAAACGCATAAAATATCGAAGAAGAACAGAGGTGATAAGTGCTATAGAGTATTTGTATGTAGAAGGGATACATTTCAGGGTAGTTAGTGATCAGGGAAATTTAATGCAAATTAATAAATGAAATAATTATGCAGCGACGTGGTAAAACGGATATGTCTTTCTCCTCCGCAGAGGCTTTAGTTGGCTATATGAACAAACAAACAAACAAACAAACAAACAAACAAACAAACAAACAAACAAACAAACAAACAAACAAACAAACAAACAAACAAACAAACAAACAAACAAACAAACAAACAAACAAACAAACAAACAAACAAACAAACAAAC